TACGTACGTAGTTAGTACGTTAGTACGTTAGTTAGTATTGTAGTAGTACTTATTATATATTATATATATATATATATATATATATATATATATATAGAAATTTATACAAGCCTTATATATATATGAAAATTTTTATACAAAACCGAGGCTCTAAACAATCAAATTAAGGCCCACAGCAAAATTTTCACTAGAAGAAATTGTTTTAATGCTCAAATATCTTCAAATTGAATATCCCGACAGTAAGATGCATAGACATGAGAAAAAAATAGATATCAAGTTTTGAAAATAATGTATCTTGAAATGCATTTTTTTATCGTCAATTTTCAGGTTTTCATAGATATGCTTGATCTACACTATTTTTGGAGCTTTAATTTTTGTATTTAAATATAAAAATATATTTTAAGACTATCACAAAGATTTTCAATATTGAAACCATATTTCTCGAAGGTGCGCTTTACTTTGATTGTTAGAGCCTCCGCTCTATACAAACCGCAACCTTATATATAAAGAGAGAGGGAGAGGGGGGAGTGAATGGTAAGGTCGCATATATGGATTGTATGGACAGTGCACACAACAAATTCAAGCAAGTACAAAGCTTAGCACATGACATTACATGCTCATGGAACACAAGACCCAACAATACATGACAAGTGGAACATTTTGTGCTCAGAACAAACAATAAAAAACACAGGAAAGGCAGTAAACACTAGGTCTAGGACTCAAATTAAATCTACTCCACTTGTGGAGGGATCCCACTTATTTAAAATCCCTAATAATCTATGTTTGGGACTACAATAGTTATTACTAGGATTCCCAAGTCATAATTTTTTATAGTCATAGTGATAATATATGCCATGGCTTCTAGCAAGTGAAGTAGCAAAAGCATGCATGTCCAAATCCTTGGCTGTGGCATGCTCCGAACCTGGCGTCCTCATATTTTTGGCATTGGGTCTTGCAATGGTTGGTATTCCCGCACTCTCCTGACCATGTTTGGCTTTTCTTTTGGCAAACCTTGGCATCACCTGTTCTAAACTCTGCACCCAGAAGAGAAGAAATCTTCATTTAGAGGAAAAAAGAGGCATACAACTTAGCAGGAAATAAAATGGCTATGAATGGGTTGGTTGCTCTTTTTTACTTGGGTTTTTCTTTTTTTTCCTTTTTTTTTTTTCATTTCAATATGGAGAAGGCCTGCTTCCCGTAGTATAAGTGGAACTCAATATATCGCACCCACCACATTAACCATCTATATGTTGAGTCCATTCCAACAAGTGCATAGTTTGTTGTAAGTAGGGAGAAGGTCCACTACCCATAGTATAAATGGAACTCAAGATATCATGTCATGGCAACTACCACCCTAACCACCTATATGCTGAGTCCATTCCAACGAGTGTATAGTTTGATGTATAATTTAGTAAATTGTACTCGTTGTACACCAATTTTGGGTAGAACTAATGAAATTTTTGTTGACATTCAAAGGAAAAAAAAAAAAACATTCGAGTTTCTGTTCTTTCAATTTCTCAGGGCAGAGGTTACCTAGTGAGGCACTTAAAAGAACTCAAGTAGTCATGTTGGGTTACATGAAACTTATATAACTTCATTTGCCCGAAAAACGTTTGACAAGCAATGTAGGCCTACAAAAACGGGTGGTCAAGGGCACGGGAGGTAAGACCATGTGCTTTGGTAAAGGTCACAGTCACATTTAGTTATTAAAAATAACATTATTATAAATTAGGGCTAATTGATCGTGCTCAAAGTCTGAAAAGCACATTTTTTTCAAATTTTTTGACAAGTTCCAAACCACCTAATTTCACATTTGATAGCTAAAAAAGATTGTCACCAAACAAAAACATTCTTACCACAAAAATAAGAAACTTGTGACTCGATGCATGTACCCCAACCTTTTTGGGCCCCTATTTATATGGTTTAAATGCTCCCTCCCTCTCTCCCTCTCTCTCTCAAGAACTGGTTGGAGATCTCAATAGATGCTTACAATATCTACTCACAAAAATCTCTCAGTATGAAAGCCTAATGCCCTAAGGCTTATTCATTTGGAAACTAGAGAGAAAGTAGTGCTTATTTACCTGAGGCCAAAATGAGAAGCAAGACCAAGAAGAGGACAGAGAACTTATTTGGGGTCACAGTCATGGCCATATTTCAGTAGGTGAAATGCAACTACTGATTTGATGACAATGTGTGTGTATGTGTATCTTGTGTAGTGTCCCTTGTGCTCTATTTATAGGCCACAAGATCCTTTGGGATTGAGTGCAGTGCCTTTCATAGCTATCTAGAGCTATCACATGAATCAAGAAGATAAGATATGAATATTATTAAACAATAAAGTGTAAAAATTGATAGTGCTAGTATGAATAATATTAAACAATAGAATGTAAAAGTCGATGGTGCAAGGTCAAATAAAGAAGGAAAAAGTGTTGCTGCATCCATATCCATATTAATCCTCTATCAATAATTTATTTTGCAATTGATTTTGCATTTAAAATTTTACAAGGAGATGAAGTTGACCACCACAATCATGATTCTTAAAAAAAGTGGAATTTAAATCTTAAGAATAAATAATTTAAAAAATTAATTTTGTTTTTGAGATTCATGACGGTGCGATCAAGATTGTTAACTTGTTAAATTTTGAATCCAATATCAATTTCTAAGATCCAAGTTCCATCTATCTCAAAAATGGATTTTCAAAGAAAACTGCACTTTAATTAGATGCATTAGCTAACCCATGAAATAAACACTTAAAAAATTAATTTTGTTTTTGAGATTCATGACGGTGCGATCAAGATTGTTAACTAGTTAAATTTTGAATCCAATATCAATTTCTACGATCCAAGTTCCATCAATCTCAAAAAATGGATTTTCAAAGAATTAGATGCGTTAGCCAACCCATGAAATAAACACTATTAAAGTAGTGTAAGAGTGTCATTGATTAGATACAATATTTTAAAAAACATTTCTCAGATTTTGCTGACTCACCCCAAGCTATCTAATTTGACTTTTAATGAATAGGAATAGTCGTAAGCTTTTATACAAAAAGTAAATGATCTATTTGTAGAAAGTCCTTATCATTAAATAATAGATGTAAAAATTGATTGTACAAAAACAGATATTATTACACAACAAAATGGAAAAATTAATAGTGAAAGGTCAAAGAATCCTCTATTAATGCCCAACCAAAATATTCATTTCAGCACTGATTTGTTTTCTAAGAATTTTACATTTAAATAAAATTGACCACCACAACATTGAATTTCAAAAAAAAAAAAGTACACTAAATTCAAAAAAATATATTATTTAAAAGTTTATTTTATTTTTCGAGATTCATAATAGTGGTGATCAAATTATCAATATGTCAAATTTTGAATCCAAAATCGATTTCTAAGATCCAAGATCCACCGATCTCTAAGATGGATTTTCAAAGAAGACGGCACTTTTAATAAGATGCAATAGCTGGCCCACCTATACCCCATCAAATAAGTACTATTAAAGTAATGTGAAATCAATAGATATTGTCCACAGAGGGATAAGTCTAAAGTCAAGAAACTACGCATGATTAAGATATGAGATCTTCTATGCTTCTTCTTTTTTTTAACTTCAAAAGTGGACTAGGAGTTTTTTTCTTTATTTCCCACTAAACACGATTTAGATTTGAGATCTTCTACGCATCTATTTTATTAACTCAAAAAGTTGACTAATGTATTTCTTTCTTTTATTTTCTGGTGAATTGTGAGATCTGCACTTATGTGTAAACACATGAAGTTATTTGTTTCCCTTCTAATTCATTTTTCTTTTGGTTACACACAAAATAACTTTTTTTTAATGGAAAATCGCTATATTCCCAACTATAATGCGAGTAGGCAGAACAAATTTCTTCCTGTATCAACCAATGTTCTTGGAATTCGAACTCGGCCGAGTCAGATTTATGTATGGCTGAGGCAAACTCCGAGAGCTAACTCGGGCCATATTTAAAATGATTAATACTACCTTATTTTTGTTAAAAAACTTAATTGACCTTTCTATGTTCTTTTTTCTTTTTTTTTAGTTTTTTAAATATTTCAAGGTATAAATCAAAATTGGATTAAAGTAACATTTATTTAAAACCATTCGATGTGAAATCGGATAGCTTTGATGTATCACAAAGTTCGAGATAATTTATCGTGAAGTTTGATCCGGTTCAATGGAACAAAATGCATCTACCCAATTGTAAGTAGGGAGAAGGTCCACTACCCATAGTATAAATGGAACTCAAGATTTCATGTCAAGGCAACTACCACCCTAACCACCTATATGCTGAGTCCATTCCAACGAGGGTATAGTTTGATGTATAATTTAGTATATTGTACTCGTTGTACACCAATTTCGTGTAGAACTAATGAAATTTTTGTTGACATTCAAAAAAAAAAAAAACATTAGAGTTTTTGTTCTTGATTTTTTGTGTTCAATTTCTCAGGGCAGAAGTTACCTAGTGAGGCACTTAAAAGAACTCAAGTAGTCATGTTGGGTTACATGAAACTTATATAACTTCATTTGCCGGAAAAACGTTTGACAAGCAATGTAGGCCTACAAAAACGGGTGGTCAAGGGCACGGGAGGTAAGACCATGTGCTTTGGTAAAAGGTCACAGTCACATTTAGTTATTAAAAATAACATTATTATAAATTAGGGCTAATTGATCGTGTTCAAAATATGAAAAGCACATTTTTTTCAAATTTTTTGACAAGTTTCAAACCACTTAATTTCACATTTGATAGCTAGAAACGATTGTCACCAAACAAAAACATTCTTACCACAAAAATAAGAAACTTGTGACTCTGCATATACCCAACCTTTTTGGGCCCCTATTTATATGGTTTAAATGCTCCCTCCCTCTCTCCCTCTCTCTCTCAAGAACTGGTTGGAGATCTCAATAGATGCTTACAATATCTACTCACAAAATCTCTCTCAGTATAAAAGCCTAATGCCCTAAGGCTTATTCATTTGGAAAATAGAGAGAAAGTAGTGCTTATTTACCTGAGGCCGAAATGAGAAGCAAGACCAAGAAGAGGACAGAGAACTTATTTGGGGTCACAGTCATGGCCATATTTCAGTAGGTGAAATGCAACTACTGATTTGATGACAATGTGTGTGTATGTGTATCTTGTGTAGTGTCCCTTGTGCTCTATTTATAGGCCACAAGATCCTTTGGGATTGAGTGCAGTGCCTTTCATAGCTATCTTGAGCTGTCACATGAATCAACAAGATAAGATATGAATATTATTAAACAATAAAGTGTAAAAATTGATAGTGCTAGTATGAATAATATTAAACAATAGAATGTAAAAGTCGATGGTGCAAGGTCAAATAAAGAAGGAAAAAGTTTTGCTGCATCCATATCCATATTAATCCTCTATCAATACTTTATTTTGGAATTGATTTTGCATTTAAAATTTTACAAGGAGATGAAGTTGACCACCACAATCACGATTCTTAAAAAATGTGGAATTTAAATCTTAAGAATAAATAATTTAAAAAATTAATTTTGTTTTTGAGATTCATGACGGTGCGATCAAGATTGTTAACTTGTTAAATTTTGAATCCAATATCAATTTCTAAGATCCAAGTTCCATCTATCTCAAAAATGGATTTTCAAAGAAAACTGCACTTTAATTAGATGCATTAGCTAGCCCATGAAATAAACACTTAAAAAATTAATTTTGTTTTTGAGATTCATGACGGTGCGATCAAGATTGTTAACTAGTTAAATTTTGGATCCAATATAAATTTCTAAGATCCAAGTTCCATCAATCTCAAAAAATGGATTTTCAAAGAAGACTGCACTTCAATTAGATGCGTTAGCCAACCCATGAAATAAACACTATTAAAGTAGTGTAAGTGTGTCATTGATTAGATGCAATATTCCAAAAAACATTTCTCAGATTTTGCGACTCACCCCAAGCTATCTAATTTGACATTTAATGAGTAGGAATAGTTGTGAGCTTTTATACAAAAAATAAATGGTCTATTTGTAGAAAATCCTTATCATTAAATAATAGATGTAAAAATTGATTGTACAAGAATAGATATTATTACACAACAAAATGGAAAAATTGATAGTGAAAGGTCAAAGAATCCTCTATTAATGCTCAACCAAAATATTCATTTCAGCACTGATTTTTTTTCTAAGAATTTTACATTTAAATGAAATTGACCACCACAACAATGAATTTCAAAAAAAAAAAAGTACATTAAATTCAAAAAAATATATTATTTAAAAATTTATTTTATTTTTCGAGATTCATAATAGCAGTGATCAAGATTACCAATATGTCAAATTTTGAATCCAAAATCGATTTCTAAGATCCAAGATCCACCGATCTCTAAGATGGATTTTCAAAGAAGACGGCACTTTTAATAAGATGCAGTAGCTGACTCACCAATACCCCATCAAATAAGTACTATTAAAGTAATGTGAAATCAATAGATATTGTCAACAGAGGGATAAGTCTAAAGTCAAGAAACTACGCATGATGAAGATATGAGATCTTCTATGCTTCTTCTTTTTTTTAACTTCAAAAGTGGATTACAAGTTTTTTTCTTTATTTCCCACTAAACACGATTTAGATTTCAGATCTTCTACGCATCTATTTTATTAACTCAAAAAGTTGACTAATGTATTTCTTTCTTTTAGTTTCTGGTGAATTGTGAGATCTGCACTTATGTGTAAACACATGAAGTTATTCGTTTCCCTTCTAATTCATTTTTCTTTTGGTCACACACAAAATAACTTTTTTTTAATGGAAAATCGCTATATTCCCAACTATAATGCGAGTAGGCAGAACAAATTTCTTCCTGTATCAACCAATGTTCTTGGAATTCGAACTCGGCCGAGTCAGATTTATGTATGGCTGAGGCAAACTCCGAGAGCTAACTCGGGCCATATTTAAAATGATTAATACTACCTTATTTTTGTTAAAAAACTTAATTGACTTTTCTACGTTCTTTTTTTTTTTTTTTAGTTTTTTGAATATTTCAAGGTATAAATCAAAATTGGATTAAAGTAACAATTACTTAAAACCATCTGATGTGAAATCGGATAGCTTTGATGTATCACAAAGTTCGAGATAATTTCTCGTGAAGTTTGATCTGGTTCAATGGAACAAAATGCATCCACCCAATTGCACATCCAAGATTACTTGTGACCACCTTGGTAGAATTTTTCTCTACTTTTTTTCCTTATTATTAGTCTTTTATAAATCTTTTGACTTTTTTTTTTTTCCTTTTTTTGCCTTGTACTCTGCTCAACCAACTCCACTACAAATGACTTAGCTCGATCTAGGGCTGAGTCCGAAGCCCGAGCCAAGTTTAAAGATATTTTTTGAGAAAATGAGAGATTCATTAAAGTAATGAAAGTACAATACAAGAAAGCAGAAATACCCAAATTTAAATATATGGGTGCGGTTTGTATAGAGCCAAGGCTCTAAACAATCAAATTAGAGCCCACCTACAAATAGTGTTGAGAAATGTGGTTTCAATACTGGAAATATTTGACTAGCCTTAGAATATATTTTTATCTTTAATTATAAAATTTAAAGCTTCAAAAATAGTGTAGATCGAGTAGATCTATAAAAACTTTAATGACTCAAAAATTGACGGACCAAAAATGCGTCATAAGATGCACTATTTCTAAAACTTGAAATCTATTTTTTTTCTCAAGTTCATGTATATTGGTGTCAAGATAATCAATTTGAAGATATTTAGGCATCAAAACAACCTTTTCTAGTAAAAGTTTTTAGGTAGGCTCTAATTTGATTGTTTAGAGCCTGTGCTCTATTTAAACTTTTCCCTAAAGATATTGATATCAACTAAGAAACTTTGAAACAAAGATTACCTATGTGTACAACAATAAATGTGAAAATCATAAAGTATGTGAGAAGAATATGAAAATATAAATTAAAGCAAAATATAAGTCATTTATTCCCACAATTTTGCAAGACTCAACTACAATTTGGAAACAAGAAGGTTTAAAAGTACTGATCGGTAACTTGAATCTGTCACACCCATACCCATGTCGGATTGGAGGAACCGGTGGATCGGATCGGAAGAATCGGTGGAATTGGAAATTTTTATTTCAAATTTTTTAAAACATAATTCAAGAAAAAAATTTGTTCATCCCTTTTTGTTTTCGCTTGACTCAATGAAGAATCAATTGGAATCGGTGAAGAATGGGTCATACTCGGTGAAAAATTGTTGGAATCGGCGGTTCCACGAAAAAATAGGCGATTCTACTATTTGGAACCGCCCGAATCCCCTTTTTGGGCCTAATCCAAAGCGTCCTGGGTGATTTCCAATCCGGATTGCCCAATTCCGGATTGGATCACCGATTTTTTAAACCTTGGGAAACATCATTGCTCCCTTGAAAGATTGAAGAATCCCAATTCTTCGATTTTGTGCAGCCCTCCTAAATGTAGTCCATTATTTTAGTGAAACCTCTATCATGCTAAGTTATGATGTATATAAAATAATGAAAAATAGTTCATCAGGCTTATCAATCTCTTTGACGTAGAAGAACTAGCCGCAGTTTCCTCTTTGTGCTGTGTCCCTATTGCAATTTCCACATATCATGCTCCTGCGAGAGCAGTACTGCATATTTACTACCTCAGTTAAAAGACCTATCTAAAGATTTTTTTCAATCTGAAATTTGGGAACCACCTAGGAGTTATTCAATGATTATTTTCAAAAGAACAAATTCGAATTTCGAGTTTCCTAGTACTTCGATCTCACCCACCTAAAATTAGACGGTCTCTGTTCAATCTTGAAACATTTTTTTTTTTGTTTTTTTGGAAAATTGAAAAAAAACAAAAAAAACCCAAAATGGTCTTTCCAAGTAATATCCCCCCGCCTAACCTTTCCTAACAACTCCCTCCCCCCCCAAACCATTTTTCCTATCAAACACCCCAAATTCAAAAAATTCTTTGTTTTTTACGAAAATACCCTTTCGTTACATAAAAAATCATTTTTGCTAAAGAGGGCGGTCCGGCTGGAAGAGGTGGTCAAGCGTTTGGAAGAGGTGGTCCAGCATTTGGAAGAGGTTGTCCGGCGTTTGGAAGAGGCGATCCAGCGTTTGGAAGAGGCGGTTCAGAGTTTGGAAGAGGCGGTTCAGAGTTTGGAAGAGGCGGTCCGACGATTATTTTGCTGGAATGGGCAGTTCGACGTTTCATTGTGGCGGTCCGGAGATTATGCTATTAGAGAAATGGGCAGTCCAGGGTTGTGAAATGGCAGTCAGGCATTTTGAAGGGCAGTCCGGCATTTCGAAGTGGTGGTCCGACATTTTGAGGGGGCAGTCCTGCATTTTGAAGTGGTGGTCCAACATCTTGAAATGCGGAGTCCGGCATTGTAAAAGTGCGGTCCGGCGTTTCCTTTTATTGGGATTCGAAAATGATTTGTTATGTATGGAAAGGGTATTTTCGTCAAAAATAAAGAACTTATTGGGAGTGTTTGCTAGGAAACATAATGTTTGGGGGGCAATTGCTAGGAAAAGCTACCGGGGGGGGGGGGGTAAATTGTTGAAGTACATTAGGGGGGGGGGGTTAAGGGTTGTGAAGTTCCTCTTAGGGGGGGGGGTTTTAAAGTTGCTAGTAAGTCTACGTTTTAAGGG